CTTTCCATCTACACAATCCTACTATAGATTCTAGCATTTATGGCTCGGTGACATGCAATGATGATGAATTACTTAACTCCATGTACATCCTTTTTACATGAAATCGTTGTAACACCAAATTCCTTGTACTTTGCATATGCCTTGTATTATTCAAAAAGGTCATCTATTACCAAGAAAAATATGTCGATCATTGACTCATTTGATATCTCTCGTCCATTGTTAAGACTATTATCTTCACCATAATGCACCATTCATAATCATTTCTGTTTTCCTCTTCACATATGTTGAACTCATCTATTTAAAATCAATCACCAATCACAAAACAATCACATAAAGCATATGCCCCATTTTCAAATAATAATCAATAGTTATACATAAACTTCAACCATACATATAAATTTAAAGACATTTAAAGACTTCAAGGTCCTATTTTCATTCATGCATTGTGATTACTAAAATATGTAAATTATTACATTTTTATAATCTTCTCATTGGTCCTTCACATTTGTTATCCACATTATATCTTATACTTTTCTCTCATATTTGCTAATAGTTTTATTATCTCTAATTGAAGCACAACAACTAGATTACTATTGCATACAACTACTACTTCAGTTATTTATTACTCATAATCAATATAAACTCAACTAGACTATGTATAGCAGATCATACCATCATACAAGCGCAATTCCAGTGAATTTCTTATACGACATTTATCCATATTATATATTAATCACAACAAATGTACGACATACATTAAGCTTAATTCAAAATAAACATAGCAAAATAAAAAAAAAAAAGAGACTTGATATAAACAAACAACATAACCGAGTGTCAATTAAACAGAAACACAATTAATATGAAACACATGCTTAATTTCACTACACTAGAGTGTGAATTAATCAAAATAGATAATTATTATCTATAATCAAAACAAATAAAATAACAAAATCAATAAGGGGACCTGATATAAAACAGAGACATAATTTCACTGCATTATAGTGTCAATTTACATATAAATAAAAACTTAACTATAGCTAAAATGATGAAACTTTTCAATTACAATTAGTATTCATGCAGCTACAAACATAGACTAGGAAACACAGTGAATAATTTCAATTAGAATTCTTGGTAGTTCGAACAATTTATCAATTTTGCCAAATAAATTTTTGTACAGGATAAGAGTTAATAAATATCAAGTAAACATATATATGTAAGCATAGAATGGCTACAAACAAGAAAACAATAGTTGATGTTTGATTTCATTACAACATTTGATTTACTAAGTTCAACTTCATTACATAATGGTCTTTTTACAACAATATTGAGACCAACATTACCATACTACGCCTGCAAATACCACTAAATTGTGTTGTTTATACTTGGAAGTTATGTAGTAGCTTTTTTCCACTTCTCCACTTCAATTTTCCAAATTTATAATCTAAGACTTCTCAAAAATTCTGCAATTAACAAAACTAACATGAAAACTTGACTTCTTTGAGTCTTGTTTACTGTCAATTTTGGTCAAGTGTTCCTCTATTTTCATCATTCACCCTCCTAAGTTTCAATTTTTTTTATTTCTTCATCGTCATATCTCTGCCATAATTTTTTTCTCGTGTTTGAAGCTCACAACAGACAAACAGTTCACAAATCACAATAAATAAATCTCACATGTAAATTTTCGATGTTATCATTTGCATTTAGAGTGGTTATTATAAGTACAACCCTTGCTCTTTATTCATACGGTTTTCTCAGACTTATGTACGCCTCAAACTTCTATTGTCCACCATATGTATTAAAAAATCTTATGTCTTGGCCCAAGTTAGGCCATATCAAATGTAAATAGTAACATAAGGAAAAATTAGTTCAACTTAAAAGGTCATAATTCTCATTCTTTGTAACACAAAACCTATAGATCAATATATGCAAATCAACCCTATAGAACATAAAGATGCAATACTTATGATGGGTCATTTACTCAATGGTAGTGGAAATTGCGACATCAATTTGGCCCAAATTCAAAATTGACAAAGAGTTCATGGTCCAGCCTAGCATAAATCTAAGCCACTGAGAATTGCAACTCAACAATCGCTTAAGCTTTGAGACAAGTTATATTCTATAAGTGCTAGAAATAAAATATTGACTATAAGTATTTTTAAAAAATAACCTGTAGGAGTCCTCTATGTTAAATAATCTTTGATATAGCCCAGATCTATTGTTCATAGAATTTGTTTGACAAGAATATACAATAATCGGAAGCGTACCTTGATCCATAACAGTATTGTCATAGAATTTGGTACCCAAGAATATACAATAATCGGGAAGACGTTCCTTGATCCATAACAGGTAGACTATGTTATGGTTATCTCGTGTGGCAATTCGTTCTCTCCATAACAGCAAGATATCTACGTTTCTTCCTCTGGGCCCTTTATTGTCCGTTAAAAGTTTTCTCTCAATGGTCAGAGAATAATCAACAGCTACGGGAGTTTCTTTGGATGAGCTCTCTCAAACAAGCTATCAACTGTATGTGGTGGAGGCAGCCGATCATACCTCTTCTATTATTGTTTTTCTTTTCTGTGTCTGCCCTAAGCTTGTCCTAAGCTGTCGATTCCTTTTACTTTTATAAGGCAGAGGAAGGATATTAAAACCCTAACTAGCTCTTATCCATTAAGCCCAATAATCATCATCTTAGGCCACCTTAATTAGAACCAGCCCTTCAATTACATGGGCTACATATAGATTATTAAATAATCTAACACTCCAGATTTTTATACAATAGACCTCAAGTCCTACTTCAAAGCAATTAATCAATCTTAATTATTTTTATAATCCTTTATTATTCTTTTTTACTAGTTCAAACATCAGAGTGTCTATATGTACTTCTTAACAACTCTCCAATCGTTGTTCTACTTCCAATTAGAATTTCAATCTTTTGTCTGCAAGCATACCCATAAATTTATACCTCACTAGATATCAATAATAAATTAACAATATTTTAAAAAATAAATCACGAGAACGTGTAATATATACTATCTATGTGCAACCCACATTAAAAAAAACTAATATTAGAAGAAGGATAAACATATCCTAATATTTTTTTCAAATTAAAAATTTCTTTTTAATCTCAATAAGGAATATCTTAACTTAGTTAGGAATTCTTTTTTTTTTTTTTTTTTTTTTTTTTTTTTTTTTTTTTTTTTTTTGTAAATCAAGAAAAACATACAAATAATTTTAACTCAATTAAGTATAATTAGTTAAATTCATTCAAGAAATCTATTATTTTTATAAAATAAGAATAAATAAATAAGTTTAACTCAATTAAAAATAATTAAACTCAATTAAGAATTTTAAAATTAAAAAAATCCAGAGTCCTAATATTTAAGGAAACTGATATTTTAATATAGTTAGGCAAAAAATAAAAATATTAAATGTTTAAGGACTAATATTAAATTATAAATAATTTAATAAATATTACATATAAAAATCTATCTATCTTTATATCTATATAAAAGCTGAGACAAAGAGAAAACTCAAAGCGTCATTTCCTTTCAACATTTTATTTTTCTTTTTTACCAATTTTTTGAGTTTTACTTTTATTTATCTGTATTGCTATTAGATAGTTAAGTACTTATATTATCTTAATATTATTTTGTCTATATTAAATAATTTAAATTATAGAACTTTATCTATAATTATATAACGCAAAGCGTTATAGAACTTTATCTATAAAATTATTTATGGTAATGTATTTAGCTGTAGATAAAACTTAAATATGATTAGTTTAATTAACACAATATTCTACTTCCTATAAAACACTTTACTATATTAGCTTCCCAAAATTCAAGAAAGGCATTTTCTTCTTTTTCGCCTTTCTGTTTCTATATTGATTTTTTTTTTTTTTTTTTTTTTTTTTTTTGACTTGTTTCTATATTGATTTTGATTGAAGAAATAGAAATAACATTGGATAGCCCATATTCAAAATGGATTATTGGCTGTCAGTCATGATAAAAGGAAAGGAAAAGAGAGAGGAATAGAGAATGCAAGTGAGAAAAATAATAGCCTAATAGAGGATAAAGATGTTAGTGAGGGTGTAGAATTATGTGGCAAAAAAAAGAATATATATATATTATTGGATGATTGGTACCGTCCACAGCACAATTTCCGGTGAAGCTGGTCCGGGGGGTTTTCTGTTGTATCTATATCTCAAATATTTGACCAAAATTGAAAAATTTTTTTTTTTTTTTTTTTTTTTTTTTTGAACTTGTTTCTATATTGATTTTGATTGAAGGAAATAGTAACATTGGATAGCATATCAAATGGATTATTGGCTGTAGTCATGATAAAGGAAAGGAAAGAGAGAGAAAGAGAGATGCAAGTGAGAAAAATAATAGCCTAATAGAGATAAAGATGTTAGTGAGGGTGGAGATTATGTGGCAAAAAAAAAATATATATATATTATTGATGATTGTACCGTCCACATCACAATTCCGGTGAAGCTGGTCGTGGGGGTTTTTCTGTTGTATTATATCTCAATATTTGACAAATTGAAAATTTTTTTTTTATAATTTTACATCCAACACTCAAATTCAAATTCATAATCTAGTTCAAATCTAAATTTACAATTTATCCAGATAGAATAAATAAAAGATAAGCTTGTAAAAAATGAAACTTTTGATTTTTGAATGCCCAAATAAATAAATAAATAATAAATATTATTATTTGTCAAAACTTTTTTTAAAATATTTTCAATTATTTTTATCCACAAATAAAAACTTTTAAAAATAATAGCATATTTTAATATTAATATTCATTTAAAAATTACTTAAACATCCATGCACGCAGTCCGGACTAACGAGTAATTGAATTATGAGTTCATAAATAAGCATAACGAACATATAGTGCATGGTTAAAAAAATTAATAATAATAAAATTCCACATTTCGTGCAACATGCCTTATGATAACTAGCATTGCATTCTTGAAAAAAAAAAAATAAATAATAATAAAAAAAACACTTTCCAGTAATGCATGACTCTTACAAATGTTGGCTCGAAACCGATCAACATGGGATAGAATCCATATATATTTGGGCTTTGGCAGGCAGCCCAATTATACAAAAAGATTAAAATAAGCATGTAATCTACGGTCCAAACCTATAATTAATTTTTCAAATTGTTATTTACAGGTCAATTCGCGATCAAGCTTTCTTCCTTCTTGCTTCAAATATATAGGTGAAACAATCCAAGCAAGTAGATCCAGGTTAGTACAGTTCTTCTTTTTCTTCAGATCTAAATCTTCAACGTTGATGCTGAAATTTCTGTCTACTAGATCTCGTTCTTGTACTGTGGTTTCCGCGATTCAATAGCCTAATCAGATCTCAGATTTGAATTCCGTAATTCTTTGTTTCATTTCTTATATGTTTCAATATTTATATAGATCTGGGATGGGCGTTTGCTCATTCTCGTAGATTATACTGTTTAGTTTAATGTCTGATTACAATTTTGTGGAATTGGAATGCTGCTTTAACTTGTTCTTCTCGTTATTTTATGATCCTAACTATCAAAATTTTCATTTCCAGGGCCAAATAGAAGTTTTTGCTTGGTTAATTTCTCTGATTAATCAAAATGGTAAGATGGTTACCTTGTTTTGTTCTCAATTTCATTTTAATAATTCTTTAAACCCTTTTAAATCCGTAAGCTTTACTTCTTTCCTATATATGTTATTTGCAATACAGGTTGTGCTTGCCTCTTCTATAGTGACCAAGTCTGGGAAAGGTGAGTTTTTGCCTTTTGGTTTATTTCTTATCCCACTGTCTTTTCAATTCATTTACTCAACATTGTTTGCTTCTAGAGTTATTTTCTACAACATAAAATAGAGTCTCCAAAGTTTTGAAATATAAATTACAATGTGCATGAGATCTGTCATTGGTAAATAATTTTGTCAATGTTTGAGTTATCAGCAATTTAATATGTGTAAATGATTTACTTGTTAAATTTATCTAATGTTAAATTCTATATTCTTCTTTTCTTCTTTTGACAATGGTTTCCTTTCTCCCTCAACATATATTGTTTTGTACTCTTAAGAATTGAATGATTGTAGATTTATCAGCCTTGGTACAGTGTGTTAGGTGGCTGCTGATGTTTTGATTGACTGTATTCAGTTTGGGTGAACAAGGATGCTTTGCTTTAGTGATTTTGTTTTCTTTTCAATGCAGTGCTTGTTTCTAGGCAGTTTGTGGACATGTCTCGTATGAGGATTGAAGGCCTTCTTGCAGCCTTTCCCAAGTTAATAGGAACTGGAAAACAGCATACATATGTTGAGACTGAGAATGTGAGATATGTCTACCAGCCAATAGAGGCTTTGTACTTGCTGCTCGTGACAAATAAACAGAGCAACATTCTTGAAGATTTGGAGACTCTGAGACTGCTTTCCAAACTTGTATCCTCTTCTGCTTGTTATAATTATAATTAATCTAACATGTCGTTTTAGCAATGTGCCTTCTGGGTTGTTGACTTCTTGTTATCCCGATTTTCCACTATTTTTGCTCTTGCCTATTCAAAATTTTGTCATTATTTTTTCTTGGGGCTTGCTGCATTTTTTTCTTTTTTTGTGATATTTCAGAGAGCATGAGTTACTTCATAGGATATTTGTATTGGTGATGCAGAGAATGCTAGTTGATTCCTTAAGTGTTTCTAGGTGCCTGAATACTGTATGTCTCTTGATGAAGAGGGCATTTGCAAGACAGCTTTTGAGTTGATTTTTGCATTTGATGAGGTCATCTCCCTAGGACACAAGGAAAATGTGACTGTTGCACAGGTTAAGCAGTACTGTGAGATGGAGAGTCATGAAGAGAAATTGCACAAGCTGGTACTGCAGAGCAAGATCAATGAAACCAAGGATGTCATGAAACGCAAAGCTAGTGAGATTGATAAAAGCAAGGTATCTATTAAAGGCTCTGCAAATCAAAAGAATAAGCATAGGAAAAATTATATATGTCCTACGGTACAACCTATTAATATGTCTGACTTTTGCAGATTGAAAAGAATAGAGGTGATAAAGGAGGATTTATGTCTTTGCAGTCTATGGGCTCTGGAAGAATTGAGAGTAAATTTAGTGATATGAGTATTTCTAGCAATGAAGGTGGTTTTGGAAGTGGTTCTGGGTTTGGATTGACGACTGATGACTCCTTTTCCAGCAAATCTAAAGGTTAGTTCCTGTTTATATGAACTCACTCTAGTTTTGATAACTCTTAAGGTGCTTGTGATTTTAATAACTGTAAAGGTGCCTGTGATTTTGATAACTTGTGGTTAATGTTAATATATGTTATATGCTTCAAAGTTCTTCTGAAAAACCTACAAATATGATTGGTAGACATTTTTGAAGTTTTCGTAAAATATTATTTTTGAATAGTTGAATCTTATGATGTATTGATGGAGGACAAGGCAGTATAAATTTGAGGCCATACCCATTTAATAGTTTAGTTTAATAATGTAGTTTCAAATTATTTTTCTTTTATTGAGTTTTATTTTATGAGCTACATATGGGCTTCATAACTGTAGGCATAATTTTCATTTTCCTTCTGTTCCTAGCTATTAAGGCTTGATACATCTTGAATTCAGTTTTTGGGCATGTATAGAATTATTAGAAGGGAAGCTTTTCTTTCTGTTCTTCTTCTGTCCTCTACCTGTCTCTCTTGCTTTCTCTATTCTTTTCTCCCTATTTCCCTACTGATAGAGCAAGGAACGAGAGCAGAATTTCCAAACAGATATTTCAGAAAAAAAAAAAAATGACAGAAGAAACCAATAGAATAAGAACTTGAATGGATTTCTTTTGATTGATAACTCAAGGATGAAAAATAGGCCAGTAATATCTGTGGATTACAGAATCAAATCAAGGAAATAACAAGAAAGAAGAAATAAACTTGATTAGCAAGAATCAAGTCCAGAAACTGAAGTTTCTTTACAGATGTCACAATCTGCCAAAAACAGAAATATTCCCGAAGATGTCGCACAACAAAATCCTCATGGTATTATATAGTGCTGGTGTCACCATTGTTGTAACTAACAATGCCACCTGGAGCTCTCTCATTGCTTGAATCTCTATGCATAAACCTCATACCATCCTCCTTGTCTGCTGTCACAAACTTGGGCCTTCTTGAATAAACTTTGAAAGGCTTGGTAGTGGTGATGGGCTGCTTATTCCTATCACCTACTCTCTCTTGTGTTGCATTAATGTTCTGATATCCTTTCTTATATCTTCTCAACTCAGGTTCTCCCACTTTTTCAAATGTTAGTATGAAATATCTGTTGGAGTTATTCTTTATCATTTTGAGAACTATATTTATTGTTATTAGGTCGTCAACCATCATCTGCCGCTGCTCCTCCTAAGGGTCTCGGCATGAAGCTTGGTAAAACCCAGAGGACAAGCCAGTTTTTGGAATCACTGAAAGCAGAAGGTGAAGTTATTCTTGAAGAAGTGCAGCCAAAGGCAGGCCAATCCAGAACTGCTGCACCACCTCTAACTGATCCCATCACTTTGACTGTTGAGGAGAAACTAAGTGTGAGTCTAAGACGAGATGGTGGAATGAGTAACTTTGATGTTCAAGGGCAATTGTCACTTCAGATTCTTAACCAAGAAGATGGGCTAATCCAAGTTCAGGTATGCTCCGTGTCTGTTCCTCTTTTTCTATTACATTCCTGCTTTTTTCTTAGACATGTGCCTGTAATGCATATGCGCATAATGAGGTAGTATTTTATGCAAGTATTGTTGTTTAAGATTTTCTGTAGTTTACGTTTCACCTTCATCTGACGAAAATAAAACAATTGCTAGTATTAGGTAGCTGATGGAAATATTTAGTATTTTCCATAGAGGGATAGGTTGATATCTATTTTGTGGTAACTTTTTGGTTGCAGAAGGGAAATTATATTGAATAATTCGTCATTTTCGCTAAGAACTGCTAATACCTGTTCATTCTTTCAATAGACTGCTCTGTATTTCCAACTCAGTCACATTCGTTTCTCATTTTCAAATTACAATTATTTTCATCTTACTAGAAATCTAGATGGAAGCAGTTGAGTTGTCTTTTTTATTTTTTTCTATTTTATTTATTTTGGTTGCAGATTGATATCATTGGCAATTTGGCATTCTATTTTGGATAAAGTTTATGATATCTAATGTCTAGTTATGATGAATGTATAGCAAGAGGGTTGAAACTAACATTAGGTGCAGTACAACGTTGAATTGCATTGTTTCTTGAATAAAATTCCGCATAATAAATTATTATTTATACACAAATGATATGTGTGTCCAATGCACATGCAGAACCAGAAAGCATAGACCTGAAGTTAATGTTGAGTGGAATCTACAACTTCAATCAATGAACTTGCTTTGGTTGCTGTGCTGATGGCTTTTATTGACATAATAATGCATGCTTGTCTTATTTCCAGATTGAAACTGGAGGAAATCCAGGCATCATTTTCAAGACACATCCCAACATGAATAAAGAATTATTTGCCAATCAAAATATTCTAGGCTTGAGGGATCCTAATCGACCTTTCCCAACTGGTCAAACCGGTGATGCTGGCGTTGGTCTTCTCAAGTGGAGAATGCAAAGTGCTGATGAGTCAATGGTGCCATTGACAAGTGGGTACAAGTTCTTATGCATGGCTTTTCTTGTTGATAAAATTATATCTTATGATTGATTGAATCCATTTTTCTGCAGTCAACTGCTGGCCCTCTGTTTCTGGAAATGAAACTTTTGTCAGCATTGAATATGAAGCTTCATCAATGTTTGATCTGAGAAATGTTGTGATCTCAGTACCTCTGCCAGCTCTGCGAGAGGCACCAAGTGTTAGGCAAATTGATGGAGAATGGAGGTTAGAAACTTAAGTTTTTTTATGTTCCAGTTTCCATTTTAGTTAGGACGCATTGGATCTCTATGTGCTGATGGCAAAACTCACAAGTAGTGACTTTTGCTTTCTCCTTTTTCTCCTCCCCCTGCTGACATCAGCTGTTACTCAAGTAGCATAAAATCAATAAATAGAGGAGCCTGATTTAGAGACAACCATTGAAAATGATGTGATGCTTTCATCGTGTTTCAAAGTATATAATTAAGGGTTGTGCAAGTAATGACGTGCAAGTTGCCCTAGATGGAAGCACAATGTTTCACTGTTATGAGATGTGGAAACTGGGATTTTGAAAGACCTGTGGAAAAACTAGGGAACCTATATAATATTATATATCTTGAAGGTTTTAGAGCATCTCCAATGCAACCATGGATTGTTTTAATTTATTTGTCACGTCTGAAAAATTGAAAGTTAAATATAAAAACATTCTCCAATGCTATCATCTGTTTAATCTGATGTGTCAAAAAGAAAATGTCTTTCCATCACCCTCTCTATTTTCAGAGAGTCTGTTAGACAACGTGACTCAGCTTTTTGTTCTTCTTGTTCCTATTTATTCATTTTTTTCTTATTTTTTTTATTGTCCTTTATATCTTCTCTTTTATTCGCGATCAAACTTCTTCTTGCTCTAAAACTGATTTCTTTTTCGTGCATTGAAGAGTCATTTTTAAAATCTAACATTTACAAATATACATATTCAGCACATCACCATGCATAACTTTTATTTATTAAGACACATCAGCCATAATTCATGGTTGCATTAGAGATGTTAATAGTTTCAATGATTCCTTTACAAGTGGTTACTCTTCATATTTTACATACCGTCTCAGGTAGACTGGCTATTTAATATATTTATTCATTTTAATCTGTAGGTATGACTCAAGAAATTCCATCCTGGAGTGGTCCATTCTTCTCATTGACAACTCTAACCGCAGGTCAGCTTAATTTTATAGTATCGTCTTCTTCAGACTGGATGTCCAATACTCCTTAGATGCCTGCTTTTTGGGTTTGCTAATTTTGCTATTTTATTTCTTGGCAGTGGATCAATGGAGTTTGTTGTGCCTCCAGCAGATTCATCAGCATTCTTCCCTATTTCTGTTCGGTTCTCAGCCACTAGCACATACAGTGACGTAAAGGTTTGCTTTTCTTTTCCTTCTTTTTTCTCCAGCATAACCATTTGATGAGACGATAGTGTGTTTGCCTCATATAAAGTACTTATTTATCAAGTATCGATTTGGCAATCATAGATGATAAAATAAAAATTCACAATACAAAATGAAGCCCTGAATTTATTACCATCGAGCATATTTCTCAAAAGCAGATGTCCAAAATTTTCTGATGCTCAACTTAATATTCAATTTGGTCATAAAGCAAAAGAATTACTAGCATTTACCTGGTGAAGTAATATTAAGTTCATACTTGTGCTAAAATCTGGAATTCACTTTGCAGGTTGTCAATGTCCTTCCTCTGAAAGGCGGACCTTCGCCAAAGTTTTCTCAGCGGACACAATTGGTGACAGAAAATTACCAAGTAGACTGAATACTTCATTCAATTTTGTGATTATGGTTCTTGATTGTACTGCACCTAGTCTTTTCTGTAATACATTTGATAGTTTTGCGTTAACTTCTGCATTGCCTTTTTTTGTATGTACCGTGTATGAGCTCTCTCTTTTGGTATAATATACCGAAGCTTGCTGCCTATCATGTACCCGTTAGAATGTTTTGAAGTTAATTGAAAAGGAAATGCACAAACTAGGTGTTTGGACAATTATTTCAATTTTTTTTATATTATTTTAATTGTCTTTTGGATTCAAGTTTTATTTAGCATATTATAGTTGTATTCTCTTCCAAATAACCATAAGTTGAATTGACATTAAAGAAAAAGTTTATTGTATTATGGTAAATTGTAAAAGGAAGTGAATGGATTTCAACAGTAATTAAAAGTCAACAACTTGCAGGTTTTGGCACACGTGGTATAGTCTTACGGTAAATATATATATATATGCAATTTGATAATAGAATGAGATTCAAATCTCCACTCTCCTGATTCTAACAAAAAAAAAAAAAAGGCAACTTTCAGGTTTTGATGTAGCTGGATGTAAAAAATTTGTTATTCAGAATTCTGCATTTAAGATGAGGGGTTTGCTGAGTTTCTTGAAAAAAATGTTAGCTTATTTCTTTCGGATTAGCGGATTCAATGTACTAGCAGGTTCGATTGCAATGTTTTCTTTATTTTTAGAAATCACTTTTTGATTACACTGAATCTGCTTGTGCTTCATATATTTTCATATTTCTTAAATGTTTACGGAGTTTCTCAGTAAAAACTACTTTGTTTCGATAAATAATTTTAGAATCACATTACTTTGATAAATAGTTTCACAAAACATATTACTCCATCCGTTCCATTTTATTTACATGGTTTGACAAAATATGCATATTAAGAATTTAGTCAACAAAAGTTATTTTGTCCTTTTTAACTCTTAACTTAATGAGATTAATAAAAGTAATTCATTTAATGAATAATAATAAAGGTTATTATAGGAACAATAATTGTTTAAATTATCTAAATTTAAAAATTTCGCAAACATTTTGGGACATTCCAAAATACAAGCAAACAAAATGGGACCGAGAGAGTATTTTATTCATGCCGCTAAAATTATTATAAACTTCTAAAGGAATAGTAGTTGAATTAAAGATAAATATTCAATTTTATCCTTAGATTTTTTTTTAAAAAAAATTTCAGATCAATCCATAACATGTTTTGAGTTTAGTAAAAAAAGTTAAAATTTCCAGTTTAAAAATAACAGAAGAATTCAAAAACCAAATAAAAACAAAAAAAATTTCATCCCGTCATTGAAGATGGAGAAGAAAACCAGGAAAAGGATCAACTATTTTCAGTTTTCACATTTTTAGTTTTTGATTTTTCTTAAACATTTCATTATTTTAAATAAAAATAGAAAACTATTTTTTATATAAAAAAAAAGAGATACGAGGTAAATTGATCTTAAATTCTAAGTCATGTCCTAAATTAATTAACATCAATAAAAGTTGAAGGGATGAAATTGAGTGTTTATTCTTAAAAATAACATGTGATGTGTTATATGAATTTAATTAATAAAAATTGTTTCCATTTAAATATTTTTTAAAAGTATCATATCTTAAAAGAAAATCAGGAGTTAATTGAAAAAATAATACAAAATGTTTTGGATTGGGCCTAAGCAAAAGGCAAAAATTTAGGCCTGACTTTAGACTGAATGAAAGCTCTGTTTCTTATTCTTTATGCTCAGATCCAATCAAGTGCTTCTCTTCTGTCTAAACTGTGAATCGTGGCTGCTTTATAAAAAATAAAATTTCATTTAATTATTTAATTTCATAAAATTAAATTTATGAAAATAAAATAAATGGCTACATTATTCACATTATTTGTTTAACTAGTTAAGATAGGCAGTCCATCGGTTTAGCTTGCTAATATAAACCGTGTAACTAAATTTTTTTACAAAGAAAATCCTATGGAACCTAATTATTTGTTGTATCAAATAAATTTGAGTTGTTTTGTCGATTTTCATTTAATTTTCAGATTAAATCAATTTAATTTTTAAAAATTTTAGGTTTTTCAATATTATATAATAAAAACTGAACTGAAAAAAATTTTTTTTTATTGAATTTTGAATCGAATCAAATCAATCAGTCTGGTTTGATCGGTTTTACCGAATTCTACAAACCCTACTACTAGTTGCACGTGCAATACACCTGCATGCAGGACAAGAGCTGCAGAATTAATCCCTGGCTATAAGTTGTAACTACACATCCAAGCAAGCCCTGGACTTGTGCAGGTACTTTGGGCCAAAAAGCTTTTTGCATTTGTTACAAAATTTAGTGAAAGCTACTGTAAGAAAAAAACAAGAAGGCCAATTTTTATGAGGATTGGTTGGCTGCATATGCCTTTACTTTAGACCTGAGTTTTTTTTTTATTCATTTTCAATCTCTTTAGAACTTCATCAATGGTTAGATTATGATGTTTTTGAGTGGCTTATCCCAAATGGTGTAATAGTTAGTGTTCTTTTATCTCTGTTTTCTACCAAAAAGAAAAAAAAAAAAGTGGGCATTTCACTCTAAGACTTTTCTTTGGGTAGATTCGGCAAAATTAGTTATTTTAATAGCTGTTAACCGTTTAATAGCGTTTAACTGTAGTTGTTTGAACAACTTTTCATAAAACGCAGCAAAAAACTAAACGTTATATGACTTAACTTTTTATAAAATACTACCTTAACTTTAAAAATTAGTTCAAATGCTATGTTACCGAATGCTATAAAAAATAACTTTTAGCATTTTAATTGCTATTTAAAAAGTTGTTGATGAATACAACTTTTATCACTTATATTAAGACTTAGCAACAGTTTTGAGTTATGTAAAGAATTACTATAACTAGCATTTAACAATATGCTCAAGATTTTAAGAGAATGGCCTTAATTAGGAGCAAGCTTGACTGATGGCCTAAAATCAACTCATGTTAAGCCAAATTGGAATGTCACATTGTGATATTAGGGGGTGGTGGATCCAAGTATTAGGGCACAAAATCATGCCATAAAAGAAAGAGACAAGTTCATAATAGAGGGAACCCACAAAGAAAATTAAATCAATCCAAAGTTGATAGTAGATTCTAGGAATGGGATCATATCATTCTTTTGCAAGTTTATAGCATGTTTCCTACTTCTTGTCAGAAAGGGCAATGCAATGTCTCATAGCTATCTTCCTTAGGCATGTGGACATGAAACCTTTTGAGAGAGCATTTTCATTAAATATTACAATAATATATGGATCAAAATCCATCCCTTCTTCTGCTTCTTCATGTGCCCATGCCATTGGTGGCATTAGGAAATGAAAAGTCTTATAGAGAAGTGACCCACATGTCTCAACTTGTCCTCCACTCTAATGTACCAATCTTAACCTATGTTCTATTCAATGAGGCCATTCACATGCTCCAACACTTATTCCAGTCCAAAAGTTTTATCTTATGTTCACCTTGACCCATATGACATTTTGATTGATGTTACTTAATTAGTGAAATTGAGCTCTGTTTGTTTCTAAAAAATAATTTATTTTTAAGAAAATATTTTTTACTTCATATTGAAAATTAATTAAAAGATATTAAAATCTTTAACTTATAAGTCCATAAAATTTATTTATAATAATAGAAATTTTATATTTTAAAAGTTTTATTTTTAAATATGAAAAAAAATGCAAAATAAGGTAAATTATGAAAGTCACTAGTGGCTACCGATAATTAATAAATTAAAAAATATGGATTTATAAAGGTGTAATAAATTTGTCAATATCTGGAAAATATTTTATTCTTTTGAAAATGTGAAGTCATTTTTCTTAAAAAATATTTTTTTTTTTTATCAATAAAATATTTTCCGTTGACTTATTTTCCTGAATACCTCAAACAATATGAAAAATATTTTCGTGCTTATTATTTACGAAAACAAACGATAGCGAAGATACAAAGCAAAGTCAAAGATGTATACCCTCCACATTAACAAATTATAAAGAAACTTAATGACTTATAATCAAGCAGATGAGGACAAATCAATTAATTTTGTATAAAATGTATCTCTACACATATAGTTTATATGTATAGAGTCATTATGAACTTCAATTATGGTGGATTGGATCCCATGTTTTAGTTACTAAATGATATTTATATAAGAGATTGATAAATTGAGTGGTCTCATCTCACAAGAAAAGTTAAAGAGCAGTGTGCAAATCCAAAGCATGACAACTCAAAATTATGCATTTTTCTTTTAAATTAAGAGATGAACTTAATATATGATGTGGGGATTGACAATTGCATCATTTCATTATAGATATTTGTCATATAAAAAAAAATTTATCAATTTTTACTATATTGAATATTATTGAAGAATCTCATTATTATGATATGAATATTTGATGGCCTAATGCATATTCTTGAGATTAGAAATTATTATAAATAAGCATTTTCACACATGTACGATGAGTTTTTTTGCATATATCAATTCCAAGGTACAAAATTATTGTTAAAAATTGCAATTTCAAATGTATATGATAAGTCTCTTGAAAAATTTTAGAATAGTAAAATACTAAAATTCAAGAGTAATTTTATGCGTTACGGGAATATTAGATTGATCCATGAAATCAAATCAATTAATTAGTAATTAGCATAATGGACTATCATTAAATTCTTGATGTCATAGTACACCATATTACTATATTTTATATTTCCTTCCATTCAAAAATTAAAAAAAAAAAAATTCTATCTTTCCTTATAAGGACAAGTATCATAAATATTTTTTTTTAACATTTTGTGTATTTAATTTGCTCATCTTTCATATTACTTTTTTTTATAAAAAAAATTCAATCTTATTTTGAGGGGAAAAAAAAGAGAACATTAGTGAGCTATTCATGGGTGGAGTCAAGAATTTTTTTTTTTTTTTTTTTTTTTGCATAATGGACTATCATTAAATTCTTTGATGATCATAGTACACCATATTACTATATGTTTATATTTCACTTCCAATTCAAAAATTAAAAAAAAAAAATTTCTATCTTTCCTTATAAGGACAAGTATCATAAGATTATTTTTTTTTTTGAACATTTTGTGTATTTTAATTTGCTCATTTTCTTTCATAATTTACTTTTTTTTATAAAAAAAAATTCAATCTTATTTTGGGGGAAAAAAAAGAGAACATTAGGTGAGCTATTCATGGGTGGAGTCAGAATTTTTTTTTTTTTTTTTTTTTTGAGGGAGAAAAAAATGTATAAAACAAATTTT